TGAATAGACATGTATATAGAAAGATAAATAGACATACATGTAAATAGATAAATAGATATAGATAGATATAAAAAGATGCAGATAGATATAGATATGAATAGATAGATATTGATAGATATAGATATATGAATTATATGCGACTGCTCTACACATATCTGATTTAGAGCTTCTGTTTCAGACGACCTGATGATCTCAGGCTCTGGATTGAATCTCGGAAGTCAGAGGGAAGTAAACGGCCACTGTCCCCAAGTAGGTCACGTCTCCTGGCCAAGCGACCTGCAAGATCAAGTGAAAGGTCATCAGTGGTGAAGAGGTCAAGGCTAGGTGATCCTAAGAAACGACTGGGGGGAGGAAAGGCCAGAAGGCGACCCTTGCCCATAAAGAAAAATAGGATTCTAAAGAGTAAGTTCGTGTGATTATTTATTTACTTATTTATCTGTTCATTTGTTATATTTTTCAGTGCTTCTCTCCCCCCCCCCCCTTAGATAATGGTAAATATTTTTCAACTTAGAAATTTTATTTACTTATCCCTTTTGGTCTCTTGCTAAGGTTATAGCACCTGTTTGTGATAACCTAATTGAGTATAATAATTGATTTGACTTTGTATAACCAGGTCACATCTAAGAACCAAAAAAAAAGATAGAAATTCTGCTCAAGTTTCTAGAGACTTTGTGGGGTCCTAGAAATAAAGGGTTACATTCTGGTGTCAGCATTTCATCTTGCATCACTGGACTTGATAGGGATGCAGGGAATGCAGCCACAGAGATCAACTCCATTCTTGTTAGCAGTAATTGGAACTCCCTTATGATTGCAAGGTTTACGAAAGTGTAGTGGTCTGTCGTAGCAAATCATTGAGAGTCTTATAGGCAGTGTAGCACTGATGGATGCTTTCATATGCAAAGTGTGCTGTAGTTCAAGAGTTCATTATTAACTCTGAGAATAGGGTAGAGCCTTATCTTGCAGGAGACGTTAGCTGCCATGCATTCCTGTTTCATGGCTTGGCTGGTTGGAGATAGGACTAGCATTGATCCCAGGCTTATAAGCCAAGGAAGCTGACCACATTTTTGATTGCCTAGGTGTGTGGTGAACTGATACCTCTAGTCAAGCAATATTCCTTTCGTATCAGTTCAGTTTTTCTAATCAGATATACACCTCGTGCAGGATTCTCATCCATGTGTTTCTCAGTAACATGAAGTGCTGTTGTCAACCAGTGGGCTGTTTTTTGTGTGGTTAGGTAGCACTCCTATGACTCGACTTGCAAAGAGCACACTAGGGATTGCAGCATATACTCTTCTTGTCCTAGGAACAACATAACAAAAAATTCAGTCAGAATATTAGGTACTACAGAATGAATGCATATTTCTTTTAAAACAGCCTGAATATTCCTCGCCATGTGCCTCGCCAAAGTTCTGGTTGCACAAACTCAGTTGATATTCTCTGCAGTTCTCAAACCTGATTTTCATAATCATTGCTCCAGATCTCTTGGACAGAAACAGTAAATGCTTCATTTTAATGAGGTCTTATGCAGTTGAAAGTCCCTTTCCTCACCTTTGTTTCTCTTGACTTTTATTTTCCCCAATAGAATATAGAAGATTGACGGCAAAAAGAGGCCCACGCAGTGCACCTGGAGGGAGCAAAACAACCAATAGATCTAACAAGGACAGTAGTAGTAATCGGGCAGATGGTGAGAACAATGATGAAGGTGATGAGGGAGAAACCGGCAATAGCAAGCCTGGAAGCACAGCCACAATTCGCAGGGTCATCAAGAAACCCAAGAATGTAAGCCATGTTAATCGCCTAGCACTGAAGCCACGTGTTATTAGAAAGCCAGCTCAGAAACTGCTCAGAGACCCAAAAGAAGCTGATAAGGAAAAGGTATGTTTTTTTTGTTTTGTTTATTTTAAGGGTTATTTGAAGATGGTTATTACTTTTTGCGAGTTATGTTGCTGTAGCATAGAAATACTTTTTTTGAAGTGAGCTGTTAGCTGACCATGCATATTACACTAGATTATTTTCAATAACATATTATATACAAATTTCTGTGTTAATTTTGTTTATTACGAGTTGCAGTTAACTTTGGTAAATTAGGATTTGGCAATAAGGAATGTTTTTAAAAATTTTATTACATGATTTTGTATAGTGGATAGTTTTTAGTCTGCTATCTATGTGCTGGTTAAAATGCTTACTGTTATGTTACTATTATGTAGTAAGTCTCACATAGATGAGCTCCTACCTGCACAGCCTGTATTATTGACCCAAGATTGATGCTTATTCATTGTTCCAGGTGAGTGTTAGAATGGGAAATCAGTATATGACAAATTCAAAATTAACATGCTTGTAAATGCAGGTAGTTTAAGTTATTTGGAAAGATTTCATTAGAGCCATCATTTTTAGAGAATCATTGGCTGCTCTTGCCTTATTTAAGAATAGAAACTCCCTGTTGATTCAGTTTTCGGTAGTCACGAATTTTTTTTTTTTTTTATAACACTTCTATTCTGAACAGGGAAAATTAACAGGAAAAATGGATAACTTTGAATCCCATTGTCAAGGTCCAAGTGATTATCTGTTTCAACAGATTGTTTCTCCAGAGAGTATGTGCTCCTGTGCATATAAATAATAGCCTGGTATAGAAGGGGGAAAGATATTAGCAACTGTCTTGCTCGGAATGAATGTATAATGTAGATTTCTAGTTAACCCATAAGTTAGGTCCTATCATGTCATCGTAGACTACCCCTCACTTGAGTGAGCTAAGCCTGTGTGTGCTTGCTTAGCTGCTGTCTCTGAGGCCCTTAAAAGGAGAATTAAAGCTTCTTGGTAGCTTCATTACATAAACAATAGTTTCTGCTGACAGGCTGACTCCATGCATACCCCAACATGTGGTTTAGTATGGTGCTGGGGGTTCCTATCATTAGTGGGCCAGTTGTAATTATGTTTGTAGGAATAACCTGAGAGCCAATAAGCAGTTCAGATTGTAAAACAATGTGGCAATAATGATGAGTTATGTTACACTGATCTATAAGGAATGGATGATCATAAAATGGCAACTGGATTTCTAAGTAATGTTGTGCATTTTATATTATTTTTCTCTAATATTTCTTGTCTCATTGTATAGCAGTTTTATTATACATATGATTGTAACAGTGCTGAATTGGCTAAATTTGTGCAGGTTAGGCATCTTAACATTTATTTAGGTACACAAATAAATTGTTTATTTCATTTATTGCTGCAAGTGTTTGTAATTATTTTATGAGTATTTTTTAGACCCTCTTACCTTTTTTTTTCTAAGCAACCAAAAGACCTTTTTCCCATCTCTCTCTCTCCAGGATCCTCCAGCCTCGCAGTCAAACAAAGATGGGGGTTCACCACCTAAAGAAGAGAAGCCTACGAGCTCTGCCTCAGAATCTAACCGGAGACCTTCAAGAACATTTTGAGATACTTGAAGAGAATTTACTGGAGAATATTAGTGCAAAAATACTGTAATGTACTTCGGGAACTCCAGAACAATATGGATTGTTTCATGTGTTTGAAAAATTTGTGGCAATGCAAGTAATAGCTTGTAGTTAGAAAAGTGTTTCATAGATGAAAATATCTAAAGGAGTCAATTATATATATTTTTTTTCATTCTTCATGTTGTTTTATAACAGGCATTTAGAGTAATCTTATTTTCTGTGGATTGAATTATTGAGAGGAATCGTTGTTGTTTCATTATAGCTGATTTGAAGTATTTTTTATGGATAAATTCTATTTGACAATATTTTCTTTTGATAGGCCATTATATGATGTGTTATATGCAGTTTCTTGCAACTGATAGAATTGGAATATGTCAAAACTGTAAAGAAAACTACAAGCTCTGCTAATGTTTTCTCAATGTGACAGTTCAGTGCTGTGAACTGGTTTAAAGATTGCTCATTGTTAAGAGCAGTCACTCTGTTGATGTAGATAGTAGCAAGTAAGTCTGGAGATGTTTATATTCTCAGAGTTATTAGAGTGTGCCTTTTGTCACTTTCTGACAAAACATGTTACTAGATTTTAAAATTTATTTTGCAATAATTTCTTTTGACATTGTCTTCAGTTGATGTGCGTAATTGCTATGCATAGTGATTTTTTGTACATGCCTGCCTTCTTGGACATGTAACCTTCTGTTCTGTTTTCCTTTTATTTCTTTTTTGCAACATGAAAAAAATGTGAGCGTAGGTATTTATTTGATGATTTCAGAGTGCAGTTATCTAATTTCACCCTCTCTCTCTTTCAGAGGTTATGTTTACTGATTTTACTCAGACTAAGGATGTGCTTCTGTAACAATAAACAGTGATAAACCAATCTAATTGCTGTTTTATAATTAAAAGGTAACCCACACATTTAATACATTGTCTTCAAGGAATTCTGTTTTGTATTCTTTTACCAGTCTTCTTAATAATGTATGGTTGGGACCAGCTTTCAGAAAAATTAAATGACTTGGACACAGGTAAAAGAGCCACTAAAAAATGAGTAGTTATCAAAATGGTTCTCAAAAATATGTTTTTGACTCTACAAGCACCCAATGTATCACTTAAACCATGGTGAAGATGGTTAGTAGGATAATTGAGAATAGTGCAATACTTCAAGAACAAATATTTACCTGTTCTATACAAGTAAGACTTAGCATCATAAATTATAGTATGGAGGAGGAGCAACCTTAGCATTCACTTTGCATAAAAGGTAATTAGCTAAAAGGTAAAATTGTCAACTTCACTTTCATTAAAATATTCTTGGAAGTGGTTGAGTGCTTATCGTCCATATCAATTCATGTACAGTCCTTTTCTTATATTCATGTTCACATTTATGAATGTGAGGAAAAATTCCTGCAATTTCATTGGAAAGGGCACTACATAATATACATATATTTTTTAAAAGTTTGTTGATAATTTAGTATTATCAGGTTTCAAGTTTATAAATTTTAGGTTTTGTGAACCACAGGGTTGTACTAGTCTTGTACATACAAGGATAAGAGAAAAACTTCGTCTATATAACATATATAATTGTCATTGGAGTATAAACCCTATTACATTTGTTTTTTTGCAACAGGAGAGTAATTGGAACCTTTTTTGTAGCGGAAGAATGAAAGTTACGCTGCGGCTTGATTTGTCTGACAAATCTCCTTATCAGCCTTTTTGAGAGTGACCCAAAGATTCAGTTGTTTTGCACGGATTTTGGACCAAATGACATGGTCACTCAAGGCCAGCATGGTTGCAGCAGTCTGTGCAGCTCCCTCTGGATAAAGGACCGTCCCACAACCCATGCCTGGAAAAAGAATAAAATTGAACCATTTTTATTTTGTTTAAATATATTTCTTGGCACTGTACATACTGAAATCAATGTCAATAATAAAAACAGGAAAGCAGGGAGATGGAAACCGTTACAGTACAAATATTAAGGGAAGAATGAGATGAGGTAGGAATAGATTTGCCAGTGAGGTCAGTCACAATGTACGAGCTTGGGACTTGGATGTAACTATTACAAGGTGTGGACGATCGGAACGGCCGCGAAAAGGAACTAGCTACTTGTTTTTTTGGAGACATGGTTGGAAAGGGAGGGTATTGTCAGAGCAAGGGGCTGTAGGGAGAACCACAAAGTATTGATCACAATTAGCTGGGCTAGAGTACTCAAATGGTTTTGTACAGGTGGAAGCAGTAGGACGAGGGCAGGAAGAAGAGGGGAGTTCTATGGAGTGGAGTGATTCAGTACTGTGGGGAGGACGACAATAAGAATGAGCTGTAATACGGGAGACAATGAAGACTGCAGGGTTGTTGTGAATATTCTGAAGGTTGAATAATGATCTGGGTGGATGCTTCAGAATGGATAGAGCTGTCAGTAACTACCCAGGGTAGTAGCAGCGTTCGGAGCCGTGACCAAAGGAGAGGCCTGGTTTGGGAAACCAGAGACGGTAAATTTAGATATGCTGCTTGGTGAATGCCCCTAATAAGGGTACAAAATCTTCATTACTGGATATTATGAGTCCAATTTATGCTGCTAAGAGAAATGGAAACGGTCTATCCCTAAGGGCCCTCATAAGGGACAAGAGGTAGGCGATTAACAGAGGGAATACCATAGCCATGGTTCCTCATGGCCGTTCATAACACAAAGCCAACCTTTCATCCTTTCAGCACGGTTCTTGCACCATGGGAAGTTGACAGAAGAAGGGACTGAATAGAAGGAAAGGGAAAGGGGGAGAAAAAAACACTATGCAAAATTAGTTGAAGCTAGGGCTGAGGACCAAGGTAGGGGTGATCCCCAAACTCGGACATGGAATTGGCGGGAATAATCCTATATAAATAACAAAATGACTATATAATAGTCAAAATTTCATCTTAAAATAGATAATCTATACAACTAAAATGTTACTATGCGCTCAGTAATCATTCGAACAATCCATAAGCACCTATTTTGAACTTCATAACCTCCTATGCAACTCAGCATTAAAAACAAGTAATTTAAGCATTTTCTAACGACCAGGGCCTCCTCTCTAATACATTCATTCGTCACATTTCTATATCATCCTTTACATGCATACGTGTAACAGGGTCCATGTTACAGTAATCAGTTTGGCGAGACTTCCTCTACATTTTCACTTACCTGAAGGAAGGTTAAGGGACGACCATACATCTCTGGAGAGTTCCTCTGGCTTGAGGGGCGGGCAATTGATGACAGGTGCGCAGGTGTTAGCACAGGTAACTGGGCCCAGACCATTACTACGACCCGCAACAGCTACGAACACCAGTGGGATTCCAAGACCCTCGTACTGTAATTAATAATGTCAGTGTAATATCGAATACTGAAGTTTATTTGAATATTTGCAGAGTCTTTCATTGTTATTTCTTCATTTTTACATTTACATTTCACTTACCTGTGCAATAATGGCGAGGCTTTCCTCTGTGCCCTTGTGAGCAGAGGTCACACGGAGTTGGCAAGGGACACCCAGTTTCTTGCAGTGGTCTCGAATCTTTTCACAGTGTGGCGCATCAGATTTGGAGCCCATCAACACGACAACCTATTGTTAATACCGAATATATGAAAAATGAATGCGTGATTATTGCAATATTTTGATAACTCGAGAACAAAAATCGTTGTTACACAATATGGCAAAATGACAAACTCTATCTTCTGGTCTCTAAACAAATGAACGCTTGCTTACCAAGCCTTTTGGTTTTGGTATAAAGTCATCAAGCTTATCCGCAACCCACTGGAAGTTCCTCTTCACCTGATCAAGAGCCGCTTCAGTAACACTTTCTAGATTACGGTAAACCTGTAAGGAAGGTATTTATCGGTAATGGAACGAAATCGCGACTTTTTAAGTTTCTTTAGAGTCACGGCACAGATACGTAAAAAGTAATACCCAAATTATGACAATACACTACCTGCTTGTCCTTCATCAGCCTCTTGTCACCAGAAGGCCAAAGTCTCCACGAATCGGAGTCGATGGTGTCCGACACGAGAATTTCTTCTGCAAGATGGAACAAAAAATACCCATGAATCCATTCCCCCCTCATTTTTTCTTGCCATTAATCCACATCTCGAATAATGTGACAGATTATCATACTCTATCGGAAAACTAGGTAATTCCTTCCCAGTTTTTCCAAATATCCTCAAAAGCAAGAACTTACTGGTCTCAGCGTCAATGCCAAACTCAATCTTCATATCGATAAGGGCACAGTCCAGCGCTGCCCACGCCCGCTCGAGCACCTCAAACACGGTCACGGTGGTTCTCGCCATGATGTCATACTCGTGGCGACCGATGACCACGCCCCCAATATCCAGCTTGGCGTCGATGACCTGCTCCTCGCTCCACTGAGGGTCATGGTTAGCATCGTCCTGAAAGAGAGAAACCGTTCAATTTGACATAACCATTTATTCTGGAGAGAGAAAAATACATCACCATTCATTCTGGAAAGACAAAAAAATACTTTGGAAATGGAAAAATAAAGTTGAATTTGACAAACATATATTACATATCTGATACAAAAATCTTATCAAGATCACATCTAAGAGAAGCTCCTCTTCAACTCAATTCTCCTATCTCTAGTTATTATCACAGGGGACGTGTTATAACCTTGAAGAAAGTCTCCATCTTGGGCGGCGTGAAGCGGTAACCCTCGGCGACCCCCGGGTGGCGGCGCAGGAAGGACCCCGTGGCGACTCTCCGTGTGACCCATTCCAGGGGGATCATGTGGCATTTGCGGGACAAGTAGGTCTTCTCGGTTAGCGTCTTCACCCATGAGGTCTTGATCCCTGTGAAATGTGATGGACGAACTTAAATCATACAAATTTCTCTACGAAAACAATAATAATAATAAACGTTGTATGCATTCCTTGTGCACAGGCATACTCTTCAAATACATGTGCTAATAGGCGTTGCACTTACAAAAATAAAAACACAAACTCCAAACCAAAATAAGCAACATGTACACATAAAACATATACACTGCAGGACACCATACAAGACAGGTACACATACACCTCATCCACACACACACACAAATCCATCCATCTATCTATATGTGTCCATACGTATAAAAACATGCATATGATAAACATACATGTATACAAACATATGATAAACATACATGTATACAAACATGCATATTGATAAACATACATGTATACAAACATGTAAATAGATAAGCATACATATATACATACATATATACAGATAAACATACATATATATACATACACATATATAAGATAAACAGCATACATTATATACATAACATATATATACACACGCACAGACATACATGCACACGCACAGAGCACACGCACACATACATGCACACGCACAGACATTACACACACGCACAGACATACACACACACACACACACCACTCAGACACACATGAAACATACGTATATACATAGTATATATGCTGTGTATGTTTCTACGTGGCGAAATGCACACGCTAAGCAAGTGATGAGTGAGTGAATGCAACCTATCTGAGTAACATTGTTGCAGTTTAGTTAATTATTACTAACCTGCCAATAAAAAATAATTAGCCAAACATTCCTTCACTCAATAAAAGACTCATATAACAAAGATTTTCTCTATTTCCTGTCTACACAATGCATTCTCAGCAAATCCTGCTTTATATATATAAACTACGCTGGTGCTTGCTTGCTTGGATCAGTGTACCCTGCATGCGGAAATGCATAGTTTCAATTACTTAAGCGAAAAGACACTTCCGTTAATGGTTAAAAAGCACAATAGATGTGCTAGTCATCAAAGGTCACGAAGCACCATAGAAAGGTGTAGTTACACAAAGGATAAAAATGGGGGGTATGCTGATGATTAAATGTATGGCATTAAAAGGGGAAAGAGTACTGGGTGAGTAAATGGGCCAAAGCAGCGATTAACTAAAGGACATTTAGATCAAATGGAGGAAAAAGTGGCATTTCAACAAGGGTGTCCATGGTGGGTATGCCAGGGATTAGTAACAGAGGAAGGGGTTATAGGCGGGAAGGTTAAAGGACGGTTTCAGAAGAAATGCCAGGAGGGGGAGGATCCAGGGAAGGACACTTGTGACAGAAGGGAGTCAACATGCATATCCAGCGGTAGGAATAACAGGGAAGGATGGGGGGAGTGGGGACTGCAAATGAAGCAAGGGGGACGGGGTGTCTTGGAAGGGAGGGAGGGAGGGAGGGAGGGGTGTAGGGGGAACATGAGTATGAGGGGGATGGTTATCGGCAGTTACTTTGAGTGAGAGGGAATAGGGGCAGAGGGACTGGAGGATAGATGAGGGACAGATATGTTATTTTGGGTCATGACCAGATAGTTTGAATGTCCTGAAGGGTTTCTGAAAGGTGGTCGGTTGGGGAGGTCAGAGAAACAATGGTTTTATTAGGAGGAGAGAAGAGGGTAGAGACGCTTTAAGGGCAGGAGGAGGAGGAGGAGGAGGTAGATGTAGAAAAGGATGCGGTAGGAGAAAATGGGGCAGAACGTTTAGATTGTCTGATACAGCGGTCAGATCGGGGAGATGAAAGGGTAGGCACTGGAGAAGTAGAGACTGGAGTGTCTGGACGTAGAATGGCAAATGAATTTGATAAGAGGGCGAAGGGGTAGAAGTGGGTAGGAGGAAGACATCCTGGGGGAGATGTAGAGACATCTTGGCGAGAAGGAAGGAGGGCAGAGCGAAGGACAGCCTGGAGTAGATTGCAAGAGAAAAACCTTCTCGACGTGCTTCCTGCTTAGCTTAGCGGAAGGTGAGGCCAAGTTGTCTATAAAATACATTATGAGGGTCACCACAATTAGCACACGTGCATGATTGCCTTAGGGTAGGAAAGCTTTCTTAATGTTGCGTAATGACCTGGGTGAGTGACTTGGAAAGGACTGATCTGACAGAAAGTACCTAGGAGGATGAAGTAGTACTAGTGTTTAAGTCGTGGTCAAAGGACAGCCAGGAGTCGGGAATCGGAAAAATTAATAAGCCTATAGTCGGGGGGGGGGGGGATCACTGACCCCTCAGGGTCCCACTGAGGGGTAAGGGCTAGATAACTAAACGGGGGAATATTGTGCCCATGGCTCCCCCCGAGGCCTTTCTGGACTGACCCAAAGTCTGCATTTTTATCCTGTCTACGCGGCTCTCACATCTAAGAAAGGGGTCTGAGAAGAGATGGAAAGGACAAGGAGAGAAGGAAAAGAAAAGGCAAGAAAAAAGGAAAGGGGGAGAAAAGACCTTGCAAAATTAGTGGTGGCGAGGGCCGAGGTCCAAGATAGGATAGGTCCCCATTAGGCCTCAAGTCTCCCGTTTCCTGAGGGTCCCACGGCAACAACGGGCATGGGATAGGGGACACTTCGTTAACATAAGTGATCTATCTACAGCGACTGTCAACAGTGGATTTTCCTCGGAATTTTAAGCAGTTATAAAAAGGAGGCGTTTTATACAGGAGCCGTATGACACTTTGTGCGTCGCTCTCGGCAACTTATACCGAAACTTGCCATATACCCACTAACACTATACCTTAAATTCCAGATACACACCAAACTAGCAAAACACCACGCACAAACACACCAACAGACATACCACACACAAACACCATTACCCTAAATACCAGACATACCACACAAAAAAAAACATACCCATAATACCTTTCCTACCCTAATACTCACCTGCCTCGTTCAAAAAAGTGAAGACCTTCCCGTTGGTGGCGTTGGAGATGGCGGCCTTTCCCTCGAGGTCATGTGCCCGAGCCCCGTCCCCGGCCGTGATGCGGTCCTTGTTCACCACAACCACGTGGGCGCCGTCTCCCTGGGCCTCGTACACGGCCTTGGTCTTGCCTTCAATTATCAGCGCTCCCTGTGCGATCTCTGGGTATGGGGAGGGGGAGAGAGAGTGCAGCTGTGTGGTTGGTTGGTGGTGGGTGCGTCGAAGTGGTGGTTTTCAGTGGGAAACGTTTGTTTAGGGGTGTGGCGGCTGGTTTCGTGTATCGGAGGTTGGGTAAGTAACGTTTTGTGTTGTAATTAGGGATTATTAAGCGTAAATTGGACTTCTATTCAGGTTTTTAATTACTTAAATTGGTTTATTTAACGTGTCATCTAATATTTAATACCACTTACCGCATACAGTAACTAGATATAATCATCACTAGGTTAACTTGGTATTAGTCCAGTCGCATAATTCATTCATTAACAATATCATTAATGGACCTAATTTCTGGCCATTAAACGTAAAATTTTCCTTCTAATTCAAGGTTGTGTGGAACTAAAACTATTCCGTTAAAAACTAAATCCTAAACACGAAAAACTTCTCCCTAACAAGAACAACAGAAGGATAAAACCATCATTCAACTCCTACCCACCGTATTAAAACATGACGCCCACTACTGTAATGGTATCAATATCTCTCAAACCCATACCCATCATATTAAGGCGTGACAGAACCCATTCCCATCGTATTAAGGCATGGCAGAACCTATACCATCACAGTAAGGCATGGCACAACCCATACCCATCATAGTAAGGCATGACAACCCATATCCATCGTATTAAGGCATGACAGAACCCATTCCCATCGTATTAAGGCATGACAA